CTAATAGCAATACGTGTCTCAGTTCATGACTTCATGCATTCCAGTTTTGTGCTGTGGATGCAAGTTTTTGGTCCTAGTCTTTCAGTTTCTTCACTCCATTCATGAAACATAATTTACATAAATCTGGGGAAAAGAAAGAAAGAAAGAAAGAAAGAAAGAAAGAAAGGCCTCAAGGTCCTGTGGTTACCTCCATGGCTCCATTCAACCCAATCTATTCCAATCCTTACCCTTTGGAATTCGCTCTAAGATTGGTACCTTGATTCTTAATTCCTAATGGAATATATCCCAAATCGGCTGCAATGCCAAATCCTTAATATCACACTCTATCTATCTCAGTCCTGATTTTAGTCAGGATAAAGTCATTTGGACCCCCCCTCCCTCTTGGTTCCTTCTTTATTCCTCATGCTTTGCATGCTCCTAAACCTCATCTCTCTCATTATCCACAGGCATAAAATTGTCTGGTTAAAACCTGCATCCCGTAACAAAGTTCTTTACGGTGGCAGCTAATTACAGGTTACACACTTGTAGGTGCACAAAATCTCTGGCCGACCACTTAGTTTGCAACCAAGAAATTCAAATGCTCTCACACTCAATTTTTAACAAAAAGAAAGATGATTCAAAACAATTATCAAAAATCAGTCGAGAGAAGACTTGGCCACTTACAACATATATATGTTTATTAGAATCATTCTCTCATACTTATAATATGCGCAGCTTTTTTAGGGACTTTTTCCCGTAAGCCATCTTTCCTTTATTTGAACAATATGACAATATGTGGTTATGGGCCGGGTGGGCTTTGATATTCTTTTCGGGTCTGTTTGTCACATGACAAATTCCTTGATTCCTTGGGCTGTGCTTGGTGATTGGGCCTCTGGCTTTTACTCCCTTGGGCCATGGCGTACACGTGTCGTTTGTTGATTGGGGGAATATTTTCCCTGTACACTTTGCTCCTAATTTCTTCTTTGAAACTAGTTTATTAAAGGAATTCCAACCGTCTTCGAAAGTAGAGGAGGTTTTAGAGGTGTTACCATTCATCATTGCTCCCTTGGAACCCATGTTGTGGGGTTTCGTGCAAGTGCTGCTTTGTAATGACCTAAATCTGCTGGATCTGGATCGCTAATAGGGTCCTTACCCGACCCGAACATTGTCATTTCACGTTAAATTACTACTTTAAAGCCCAACAAGGATAAAATGGTCATTTAACATAATTATGATGGTTTAAGACCCAAAAAAAGAGAGGGTAAAATGGTCATTTACTAAGGTCATCGAATGATTAGGATGAAATCCTTGGGTAAAATGGTCATTTTTGTGGTTAAAATAGAATTAATGTATTTTACTAGGTCACATAGTATATACTAGCTAGCAACACTAAATGGGTGATAAGGGGAAAAATAGGAAGATAAAACACAAACGACAACGAGCAGGGACCAGTCACGTCGACTGGTTTGGGATATTCGGTTGATGTGTGTGTACTTCACCTTGACCGATAGGGACATCCACAGTAAAATTGCTCACTGACCAAAAACGTGAAATATAAGTCGACGTGTAGACCCTTATGGATGGATACTTATTTCCTTTAATTGCTCAGCCAATTACACTCAAACTATCCCTAAATCCAACCACTAAAATACCACAATTACATACTAAAATGCCACTAAAATACGTATGTGTATATATATATATATACACACACACTTACGTTAAAATATTTCAAATAATTCTCTTCTCTTACGCCCTCAAACAAAACAACATTAACGTAAATACATAATATTATGGTTACATGCCTAAAATAGAATTATTACATATACCAATACCAACCTAGCTTTTTCAAATGCAAAAGTGAGCCCAAATAATATTATTATAATGTTAATACAATATTTTATAAAAATTACAATTCCATAATCATGTCTTTACAAAAACAAGCGTCGTTACAAAGCGAGTAAAAAAAAAAAAAAAACACTAGTACATCTCTAGGTTCGTGGAATCACGTTGTCAACCATTAACTACATATGTGAGGGTTCGCCATCAACCACGTCATAACCTGGAAAATATTAAAGGAAAGGGGTGAGCATAGAGGCTGAGTAGAAGATGTCTAAGGCACCAACTTTGGACTCTCTTGAGTCACGTAACACATAATGGGGATAAAAGGGAATAGGGGTCATTTTTGGGGAGATTAATTCACATTTGAACCACAAATCAATATCAACAATACCATTTATACAACTCATCAAATTATTATATAGAATGTAATGCAATGCACAACTGTCCCCAAATTTGATTTCTACCGGCCCTAACTCACACTTAAAACTGCTAACCGACTTTACCGAGGCGAGATTTATTACTATCCCTGCTTCTAAGTCTGGCAACCATTTGGGACCTAGAAATCAACTTTTCATGTCCAAATGGTTGATTACTAACTTTAGCCAAAGTTCCCCAAATGCCCTTACTCATCCTTAGCAATGCTATCTAAGTCCCTAAAATATCCCCTCAATGCATACTTACATATATATATGTGTGTGTGTGTGTGTGAAAAATGCCAATAACGCCCCTCACTTAAAATGAGAAAATCGAGAGAACTTTCCGAGCCCAAAGGTCGTCCCGACTTTTGAAAAATTCTAAAAATAATCCCGTCACTTGAAATTGGCTTAAAAAATTAAAAATGCATTTCTAAAACTCTCGGCTCGAGAAAATGACTTAAACGGGCCTAGGGGCAGTGTGGCATGCAAAACGAGGCACGAAAAATAAATAAAAGAAAAATCCAGAAAAATCCGAAAAAAAATTCAACAACAATCTGGGACATTATGCGCTTCTTCTTTTGGTTCTCCCACTCCGAAGGTATATGTAACGATCCGAATCCATGGCTCCGAATTGTTAATAGAGTCCTCATGTAATGACACACAATGGTGATATGGTCATGACGAGGGTAGTTTGATCATTTAACACTACAACATTGATTAACAATCTTGTCTATGGTAAGCCTGAACTCCCTTGTTGAAGGATTGAATACATATATGAATCTTTCTCGTATATGCCTCGTTGAAGGATTGAATACATATTTAAATCCAAAATCTACCTCCATGCATATCAATCCATTGCAAGAACCAACAATTTCCCACTTAGGATGAGGATTATTCGGAAATAAAAAACCAATCTACGATTTAGCAATGTGGTCATTACCGGCTGATCCGAAGCTTGCCGTGTAATGATGGAGCGGGCAGCCGGGAGTCAGGAACGGAGCCAGAATTTTTGTCTAGGGAGCACATTTTACACTCAATACATATAAATTAGTGTTTGCGGAGTATTTATGACATAGGTAAATTAATAAATTACATTTAAAAAAACATATATAGTATATAAGGGAAGGAGAAAATTTCAGGGGGCATTTTTACACATTTTAAAAAAATATATACATCTTATAGAAAAATATATATATAAAATAAGGAAAGGAAAAAATCTAATGAACACATGCCCCCGGTCCTATACTGGCTCCGTTCCTGCCGGGAGTTGGTATGAGTATCAGCAGTTTGATTGAGGTGAGTTTTGATGAAGTGGGGGTCGGAGATCAAGGTAAGACCAAGGCATGATGGCTTCTTCTTCGCATGAGTGAGTAGTCATGATTTGTATTCTCTTCCCTGGTTTGGCATGGGCTTGCCTCTTTCTTGATCTATTATTAAAATCTGGTAACTGACTTCTCTTCACGATGATTGCCAATTATTTTAACCAAGGAGAAGTTATGAAAGTTCACAAAAAAAAAAAAGATAAACTAATTGTTAAAATCTAATATTGTATTGATAATTGAATGTGTTAATTCTACAATACATATATTTATAAAACCTAAAGTTACAAGGAAAATCTAATAAAATAAAGAAAGAAAACTAAAAATATAACGAAATTATCTAAAATTATACTCTAAAAATTTATAAAAGAAAATAAATAAAAAACTTAATTAATGAAAACTACTAAATGTGTCTGTCCTACGTCATATTTCTTTACATATGTAGTAATTTAACCAAACTTCCGTTTAGAAAAGATAAAAGATCGAGGAGCCTTGTACCATTCGTAGTAGTGATTTATTATTATTATTATTCTTTTAAAAAAAGTTAATTTCTTATTATAATGATCCGATCTTTATATATTCATACAAAAAGTGTCAAAATGGGTTACGACTTGAGTCTTTGCAACCTAAAGGGATTCAAAGAGAAGAGAGGCCTAGTTCCATTGAGACAGAATTCTTTGGTAAGAGGATAAGAAGCATGGAGCCACATACACTTTTATGAGGAGCCGAAAAAACTTCATTCAACACTATTGCACACGCTTCGACGCCTTGTTCATAATTTAAAGACGCATCTTGAACAATAAACACTCGACAATATATCAAATACACCGTCTTATATAAAACAAATAATGGTAGTCCTTGAAATAACATCATGAACATATAACAAAAACATATATCAAAGTACTCAATTCTTTCTTCTTCTTTTTTTAATTCTTTTTTTCACATTAAATACACTACAATGACGAGATGGAATAGTAATATCATACTACGTAGTACATTTGATATTCAGATTTTTTCACATTCTATCTTTATGTAACTTTAATATAGATTGAAATTATAAAGTAATTAAAATTTTATATTAATAAAGAAATAATTAATAATTGCTTGAAATTTTATACTAATAAAGTAGTAATTAATAATTGCTTGTAAAGCTCAAATAAATAGAAAGGCTTATGGTTAAGATCCGTTGTGAACGTGAAGGCACCAAAATTAGAATTAAAATAAATTTAGTTTAAACTTTGAACTAAATTTTTTACAATTTTAAATCTCACGTGCTCAATGTTTATAACAAAGAAACAAATTGTAAATCGGTTTGACACTAGCTAATACATATTATAGAGAGGTTCAAAGAAATTACACAGCCCAATTTCTTATCTAGTCCGATCCAAGGCTTTATTTGTTTCTAGCACATCAATCATCCTAAATTTCATTTGTTTTTCTCCCATCACATGACCGGTGATACGAGACTATCTACGTAGATCTCTGCATCATAACCGTTCACGTCATCAAAGACAAGATCCCTATATGTTCCCTCTCTTGTGTAGTATAAAACAAACTTTCTGAAGTCTATCAATAACAAAGGTTACAAAGCAACATCATTCCTCAACAAAGCCAATGGCTTGAAGTTATGCCGAAATGGGATTTTAAGTTCAAGTTTAGTCCGTTCACCCCATATTCCTTCATAACCCAGAATGCATCATCACATTGATCTGGTAGTATACAAACTTACAAAGGCATCCTTCAAGCACCCCTAGGAAGTATGCTTCATCAGCATCGGTGAAGGGAGTCGGCATGGGAATGGGAATGGGAATCTTCCACACTTTCTCATCCTCCAAACTAAAAACTGCAATCTCTAATGGATTCCCTATTTCGTCCAAACAAAGCCAATGAAGGGCTCCATTCAGCTGGATCCCATTCGAAGAAGCACCAACACTGGACTTATAAGTAAAGTCGTGAACTTTTCTCCAAGAACAATTTCTCAGTGAATATGCATAGATGCTATTGCTGTGTATTTTGAACAGTTTGTAATCATCAGAACAATGGTCATAGCCAAATCCAACTACACCAGAGGGATCGAAATCCGGTATTTGCTTGTACTCCCTCGTTGAAGGATTGAATATATATATGAATTGAAAATCTACCGCCATGCATATCAACCCATTGCAAGAACCAACAATTTCCCATTTACAATGAGGATTGTCCTTCAATAAAATATCAATATATCTTCGATACTGCATTGACGTCATTACCCAAGGATCCGAAACTTGCCGTGTATAAACGGAGTGGGCCGTTGGGAGTACTGGGTATGAGTATCCGGATGTTGTTGGTCTTTGAGAGTGATTGATTGAGGTGGGTTTTGATGAAGTGAGGGTCGGAAATCAAAGAACACCATGACTTTGAAACACATCTGAATTTCAACAGAGACTTGACGGGCAGTTTTGAAAGTATTTCATCAACCACGAGATGTTCAGGAAAGGTAAGAAAACGGCAAAGGCATGGCTGCTTCTTCCCTTGAGTAGCTGGCTGTGGCTCGCTTCTTTCTTGATCTATTAATTCTTGGTTACCGAATTCTCTTCATGATAATATGCCAACTATTTTGACGAAGGTGAAGCTATCACCAAGGAAGATAAAATTGTATTGCTAATTGAGTGTGTTAATTAAGGATAATGCTTCACCCTACTCACCCTTTGTGTGTTCCAATAACAATTTACCACATTAGCTTTAATAAAAAAATAATCTACATCCTCTTGTATTTTCTGGGATCAACCATTGAATAAACGTGGGTTATTTTTTTTATTAAAACTGATGTGACAAATTGTTATTAGAACACATAAGGGGTGAGTAGGGTGAAATTACTTACCCGTGAATAGCTAAGCATTATCAATTAATTAATTCTGCTCTCCTAAGATACTGGTATTATAATAAAAATAAAAAAGCTTAATTACTAGGAAACCTAACACTATAAGGAAAACCTAATAAAATAAGGAAAGAAAACTAAAACCATAATTAATGAAATTACTAAATCTGTCCAACATCATATGTCTTCACGGTATTGAGTAATTTGACCAAACTTTGCTTTAGAAAAGATAAAAAAGATAGTGGGCCTTGGCATTAGTAGTAGTAAACTTCTCATATATACTTTTTATCGCAAAGTGTCAAGGTCGGTTGCTTCTTATGATATGTTTAGTGTGTAGGAATGAAATGAAATATAAGTGGGAATGGGATGAGAATAAAATTAGAATAAGATTGTCTATTCTCATTCTATTGTTTGGTTGTAAATATAAAATGTGTGGGAATAAAATAATAATAACCATTCTAGTGTTTGGTTGTACCAATTTAAAATTTAGAATAGAATAAATTTTAAATTGAGTTTTTCAAAATATCCCTTTTAGTAATAAATATATTAAATTAACAAAATGACATTCTTCTATAATTTTTTTAAAAAATAAATGGTGGCAGAAGGGGGCGGTGGTGGCAATGGTGGAAGGCATCGGTGCTGGTAAGCGATAGTGGTGTTGGTGGAAGGCAGTGGTAGTAGTGTGGTTGTGGTGGTGGTGGAAGGAGATAGTGGTGTAGGTGACGGTGGTGGAAGCCAATTGAGGTGATTATGGTAGTGGTGGAAGGGAGTGGTGGTGGTGGAAGGTGGTGGTGATGGTGGAAGGCGGTGATGGAAGTGGTGGAAGGCGGTGGAGGTGGCGGTGGCGATGGTAGAAGGTGGTGGTGGTGGCTATTGTGGAAGTTGGTAGCGGTGGTGGTACATGGAAGGCGGTGGTGGTGGCAGTGGTGGTGGTGAAAAGCGGTGGCGGTGGGGGTGGGGGAAGGAGGTGGCGGTGGCGGTGGTGGTGGTGGAAGACAGTGGTGGCAATGGCGGTGGTGGTGGAAGGCGGCGGTGATGGAAGACGTTGTAAGGTGGTGGAAGGCAGTGGGGGTGGAAGACAGTGGCGGTGGTGGTGATGAAAGCGGTGGAAGGCGATAGTGGTGGTGAAAAGAAGTGGTAGTGGTAGTGGTAGAGGTGGAAGGTAACGGTGGTGAAGGTAGCGGATGTGGTGAAAGGTGATGACAGTGGCGGAAAGTGATGGCTGTGGTGAAAGGCGATGGCGGTGGCAAAAGGTGGTGGCAGTGGTGAAAGGCGATGGCGATGGAGGTGGTGGTGGTCGGTGGTGAAAGTCGATGGTGGTGGTGGTGGAAGGCTCTATGTGTAAATCGGATGTGAAAGGGATGTAGTGGTGGTGGTGAAAGGCGGAGGTGGTTGTGGTGGAGCTAGCTAGGTAGTGGTGGTTTTTGAACTTGGAACATAAGGGTTTTTTTGGAATTTGATTTTTTTTTTTAAAAATTACTTAGGAATGGAATGGTCATTTCATAGGTTTAGTTGTGGAATGATGGAATAACTATTCCCACTTTAAATTACATACTAAATAAATGAATGATTGGAATGACTATTTCATTTCATTATATTCTTGCACACCAAACGTAACATTAGAGTCTTTACATCCTAAAGGGATTCAAAGAAGGCAGAAAGGCACATGTCTATTGGGATAGAAATTCTTTGGTAAGAGGCTAAGAAGATTGGACACTTTATGAGTGTCTGCATGGTGACGCTGATACTTTATCGATACTATTGTAAAAATATACTTTATCAATACTATTGTTCATAATTTAAAAATATACTTTATTATTTTAGACACTTGATTGATACATCTGCTCAGACACATTTTGAATACTCGACAGCATATCCCACATCTTATTTTATATAAAATAAATAATGGCAGTCCTAGAAATAATATTATGAATATATATCAAAGTGCTCAATCTTCTTTTTTTTTTTTTTTTTTTTTTTTTTTTTTTTCTCTAAAAAAAAATTTATTAAACATATGTACATGAACAAAAACATAACCACAATAACAAAATAAAATAGTAATATCATGTATAGTACATTTGATATTCAAATTGTTCTAACTTATGTAACTTTAGTTTAAAAATTATAAAGTTCTATAATTATCTTATTCCATAGATATATAAATGAAAATTTTATATTTCTATTAGTCGTGTTCATGCAGTGTCCGTTATTACTTTTTTAGAATTTGATTCATCGGCCTATCCATATCGTATCGTTTTTATACTTGTTAGGTAAGAGGATATCAGGAGTTGACATCGCAAAAGACACTTTCTTTTTTTTTTTACAAAGTAGAGGTATGGTAACCCCCGGCGGCAGGGCAGTGATGGTAGGAGCTCGGCCTGCCACACCAACGGCCCTGGTTCGACTCCTCCCAAGCCTTCCTTGTCCTCCGACTCACCCGGTGTTATCCTTGGGGCGAGGCTCTTACACCCCCAGGTTTGTAGCCTAGGGTGGGTCTCGAAGAGGCCCTGCCTAGGTGAAAAAAAAAAGAAAAAAGAAAAAAAAGTAGAGGTATTGATAAGAGAAATCCCTCTCTACTTTAGATATATAATTTACTAACATAAAATCAAATTAACTAACTTTATTTAGAAATTATTGTTCTAGTCTTTCTAAATACAAAAGTGTAAATTACATATTGTATTCAATTTTTCTTTTTCTTTTTTTTCTTTTTTTTTTTTTTTTCAATAGATTGTACCGTTAATTTTATTCAATCATTCTAATGGACGTGTCCAAACGATTATTTCCTCTTGTTCCACTTTTAGTTTTTCTCTTACATTTTCATTAGTCACCCTATCTCATCTATGCTAAGATTTGGAAAACAAACACTAATAAAGTAATTATTAATAATTGCTTGTAAATTTCAAAGAAAAATAAAGGCTTAGGGTTAAGCTCCGTTCAGTTTATTGTGGATGGACAGTCAATATATGTGGCGGTCAGTGTGTAGATGGGCTGTTTTAGAACTACACTTAAAACAAAGATGCAAATAGAGAATCGGTTTGGCACTATTAATTAATATATTATAAAGGCTCAAAGAAGTATGTAATTTTCAATTGCACAAACTTTGTTTTCAAACTGGGATCTTGAGACTTGAGAGTTGAAGCACACCTATTATTTAGCTCATGGCCAAAAAGGGTCAAGATTTGGCAGGAATATAATATGTATATATGAATGTGAGTGTGCATATGAGGTATTTGAGCTCATTCCATCAAAAGACAATCAGTGTCTCAAATTCGTCCAAACTTTCTACTTAAACAGAATTGAGAAGATAATGGGAAGTCGGGCATGCCATGCTATTGATATGCGCAATCACACTGAAAATTCAACATACAATGAAATAGGTCTTAACATACAGTTGAAAAAAATTGCTCAAAACTACTGTTCACAAACTGAATTGTTAATTTTTTACGGAGTGGACATACCAATTACCAATAATGTAGTATTCGTGGCTCACCCTATACTTCCTCCCTCTTCGGTGGTGTTCTTGTTGTTAGAACTCACCATACTCAAGTCTCGGCTTACCTATATTTTGTTCATATTCCAATTCAGTTTTATTTTAACAGAGAAGAAGAGGGAAAAACTTATCTGATAATAAATTCAGGAAACAATAAAGAAGAAAAATGAAAATTATATTCATTTCATTCGTATATCTATTACACATGCACTGAAAGTCTGAAATACATTATATTCATTGAACATAACGAAACAGTTGACAGACCATGCTAATAAAATGCGTGTACAGTGGCGAGTGTACACAAAAGTGGCTCCTTTCGAACTTTAATGAATGGCTTCATTTAGAAGCGTCATAAGAATCCACCAAGGTGGGTAATGTTGGGTTTATTTCCTTTTATATGGAGGAAAGCTCAAGTGGGTTTTATTAAAAGTCCAAAGCCCAACTTTTAGGGAAAAAAAAACCCTAAGGAAGTTAGTATAAAAAGAGAGAGAGGTTAGCCACGAGTAGAAGAACAAAAGAGAAGAAAAACGCAGGTTTTTCCATTCTGCCCAGGTTTGATCAAACAACCGATCCTGCTTTGTCTGTGGTCCGATCAAGCTGAAATTTGGAGGACAGGTTCATGACTCAGTGACGCACAATCTGAACGGTGGAGATCATATTTTGAACTCGGGAACAGTGATTCGTGCCCGTGAAGAGTAACTGGGTTTTTGGTAGAAAAACGCAAGTTTTTCTATTCTGCCCAGATTTCATCAAACGTCCGATCCTTCTTCGTCCGTGGTCCGATCGAGCTGAAATTTGGAGGAGAGGTTCATGACTCAATGAATTAAAATTTGAACGGTGAAGATCGGATTTCAGCTCGGAAACAGTGATTCGTGACTGTGAACAGTAACCGGATTTTT